GCGGCTTCCCACAATGCCAAAATACAACAGAGAGAACATATTAAAACCCAGATTAGGCCCAAAGTGTATCAGAGGGGAGATCAAGTGACAAAGTTTTAACCGTTCGAGTCAGGTTTATTATTTTAATCTACTACAGTCATCTCTCTACCACTCGCTGTCTGATAACCAGGCTCTTCTCTTCCCCCAATTACAGTTAGACTTGGAAATCAGAGGCTTATTCCTTGTGCAGATCTGTTAGGTTTCTCAGGTGGGAAATACCTCGGTTCTTGGCTTCACACGAGAAAGAATTCATGCTGAAGCCTGGTTTGTGATCCAAGTGAGTTCTTATGAAGGACAGAAGAAGTTTTAGGTTTCACCGTCTCTGAATACGGGCAACTCACGGGACTGCACACCCACACGTGGTGGCCTGAGGCCAGAGAGAGAGAGGGGGCATAGCCAAGTGGAAAGCAGAGAAGGGCGGTGGTCTTGAGGTTCCGGCCTTTAGGGCCTCCAGCTGGGAGGCATGGTCAATGGTACTGGTTGACCCCATTGGCTGAATTAAGCCCACCTGGCCTAGTTTGGGCCCACCCAGGTGTACCACCTACCTGACTAGGGCCTGAATTTGGAGCAAGTCCAGTTAGTCTTTAAGGCTTCCAACCTTCGGTGGTGGTGGCTTCCAGGCATGGAGAGGGACACCCTGGTCCCTGTCTCGAGCTACCTAACAGATCCTGCAAATGTATTTTGGGCTTCTGCTGTTTGTCGTCCATACCCTTTTGCACACAATTTAATAGGCTCTCTCTGATTACCAGCTTCTTACTCAGCCCCACACACATTTTCCCCCCAACATATATTCCACAGATGTCTAGAGTCTACCACTTTCTTGTCTGTGGTCAGGCTTCTAATTCATGGATCTTCAATTTAGCTTGTGTGACGTGGGGGCGGGGGAAGGGCCCGCACTCTTATACCTGTTCTCTCTTTGTTCGATTAAGTGAAGCCAGGCTAAATAAACTCCAGTTCATAATTCCCGGATGTTATTTCTCATTTGTACAGAACGTACTGTAGGTCTGGCTGATGCTCGAGGGCAGCTGTCCTTCTTAATAACTCAGCTGATAAGAACTGCTGTTATCACGCTGATCCATCAATGTAACAGCAGATCCTCTTGGTGGGGGAGAGAGGACCATTACACACTGGTAGTTCAATGCTTAGACGAGAAGCTTTTTGCTCACATTGGTCAGAACTAGGTCACATAGTCCCAGGGGACTAGGAAGTCTTGATTTTAAGGGCCATTGAGGGGGCTGCTACTCATAGCAACGCTCTGTTTGACAGCATGAAACACTGTGCTTGCTCCTGCCCAGCCTCACAATTGTTGTTATGTTTGAGCCCCTTGCTGCAGTCACAGTGTCAATCCGTTCATCTTGTGGAGGGGCTTCCTCTTTGTTGCTGCCCTTCTACTTTACCAAACGTGACGTCCTTTCCCAAGGACAGGTCTCGCCTCATAACACGTCCGAAGTACCGGCCGTCCCCACGGATATTGAGCTTTTCTGTTGTCGCTTCACACGGATGTGTTCGATTTGATTTCTGTTCATTCCAACTGGAGAAGTTCATCGATGTCGTTACTGTTTGTGTTGTTGAAAAAGTGTATTTGCGATGAAGAAGTTGTCTTGCAACGTTCTATGGTGCAAGCTCCAGCTTTGTTTTTATCCCCAAGGGCGCATTTTCTAAGCACTGTTCCTTTTCCCTTGTTTCCAACTTTCGTATTTCAATTGCTAATAATTATTAATGCATGTTGACGGTATGCTTGATTAATTTCAGACGGAAGAAGCTGGTAGACTTCTTTATTTCTCCATCACTAGCTTTAGTGGTTGGTGTATAAATGTGGATAATAATTGTATCGACTGGATTTCCTTGGATCTGTATCGGTATTATCCTATCCCAGGCCCCACTGTAATTCAATACCCATCTGGAAGTGCCCGTCTAGGTGATGCCTGCAATACCATGCCCCCTGAATTTGTCTTTCCCGGCCCAGTAGACCATAAGATTGTCTGATTCAAAATGGTTAAAACCAGCCCATTTCAGCTCCCCAGTACCTTAGGGATCTATCTTTATGTGTTCTATTTAGTTTTGGATGACTTCCCATTTTTCTAGATTCATACGTTGTACATTCCACATTGTGATTATTAATGCAATGGTTTCTTTTCATTTTGAGTCATGCTCCATCAGAAAATGAAATTCCCGACAGGTTTCTTCCATCCACATCATTATAATTGATCTACTTGAGAGAGCAGCTGTGTCTCTCTTAAACAGTTTGATTGGCACTTCATCCACATGTCATCCAACTCCATAATTCAATCACCTCAAGAAGAGCTGTACACGCATCACCACAGTCAAGTCTGGAACACACTCTTCTTCCTTCTTATCCATGCAATTATTTTTTTAAACTGTGGCAAAAACATGCACAGCAAAACACCCTCCATTTCACTCTTGGTAGCCATGGGACAAGTTTGATTTATTTTTTGAGTAGTTTAAAAAAAATCATTTTATTCGGGGCTTGTACAGCACTTATCACAAGCCATGCAACCATCCATTGTGTCAAGCACATTTGTACATTTGTTGCCATCATCATTTTCAAAATATGTTCTTTCTACTTGAGCCCTTAGTAACAGCTCTTCATTTAAAAAAACAAAACAAAAACCCATAATGTTCACATAGCAGAAACTTCCAAAGTTAAATCACATTTAAAAAGAGTTGTATACACATCATCACAATCAGTTCTAATGCTCCCTCCCACCTCCCACATTCATTGTGGAGAACAGCTCTCCCTTAGCCACGTTCTGAATGCCTTCCAACTGGAGGGGTGAATCTTCCCGCGTGATATCTGTAACGTTCTGCCACGATTCACAAGGCTTTCAGTCACCAATTCCTGAGACATGGACAACTTATTCCTCCTTCACAGTCTGGAGGCTCTGCTGAAACCTGTCCACCTTGGACACCCTGCTGGGATCGGAAATACCCGTGAGACAGCTTCCAGCATCACAGCTCCCAAGCCACCGCCGTGTGACAGACGGACAGACAAGAAGTCTGGATGGTGCTGAAGAAATGGAGGGTGATGGTGAATTCTGGTCATGTCTTCCACACCGTGGTACCCTTTTCTTTATGTGCTGTGCTCTTCCAGGGGAGAGGAATTATTTTTCTGATGGGTCAGATTCCAGATCTTGCATGCCACCTTAACTAGGGGTAGGATTCAGAGTGTGTTAAAAGGTGACACCGTTAGAATATGTCCATCAAAGATTCTGTAGAAGAATACTGATAAAAAGTGCAGATTTAAAATTTTCAGACATTCCAAAGTTTCCATCCTTATGCCGGACATTCTCTCTTATTCTTTGGATTTTATTTCATTCTGTAGTTCTCCTTTCTCCTGTTTATTATCTTCAAAGTTTTCTGCCCACAGATGCCTTCCACTTAACATCTTCTCTATTTTGAATATATTTTTTCATTTTTGTTGCTTTTGTTCTCAAGTGAGAATCTCATTTTTTCATCGCATTTACTTCCCACATTCTTAAAGACTGTTTACACCTCTGCCTTCATTTTCTCATTCCAGAAATAAGGTGTCCACCTTTAACATGGCTATCTCATTGAAAATCATCAGTGTCCCACTAATGACAAAACAGAACATTTTCTTATTTTGCATACTCTCAAACATTTTAGTAGCTGTGATAATTAGGTTGATTTTTTTGGTGCCAATATGGCACCTGTAGGAACATGTGGGCAGAATTAAGCCTATCAATCAGATTGCAGCTTGATTGGAGGGCAATCTGATCTAAATGGCTCTCTGGGCTCTCTGGAGGCAGGTCACCCTCCCTCTCTGTTTTCATCTTCCTGCTGGACGGTCACACGGAGACCTGAGACCCCTGTGATCCAGCCCCCACCTTAGGATCTACAAGAGTTTGCAACCACCGGCCTGTGCTCTTCCTGCATTCTGCATCGTTGCATGTGGCTGTGTGAGTCTGGAGCGGGACCGAGGACTAGAATCACACTTAAGGACTAATATCGGACTTACGGACTGGATCTGGACAGGGCTGGGCTGTTTGCTTGATAGATAATTAGTTCTCCCCCCCCCCAATCATTAATCCAGTTTATTCAGAGTGACGACATTGGACATGGCTACAGTTATCTTAAGTATCAGCAATGAAATTCCTTTGAATTAGGATTGGGATAAAAAAATGACCATCTCTTTGTGAGTATTGGTGTCTTCTCTTTTGAAGATATATGTTTCAACCTCTCAAAAGAGATTGTCCATAAGGCTTACTTGATAAGCTCTCCCCTACACACAGATATGCGGGTCCCTGGACTTATTTCTGTAGTGAACCCCACCTAACACAGTAGCACTTTATTTTTTGATAACCTTACTCCTTGTATGGTGTGTGTGTGTGGGTGTGTGTGTGTGTGTGTGTGTGAGAGAGATAAGCTCTCCCAGCTTACAGGGAGTTTCATTCTTCTGCTTATTCTCTCTCTCTCCTACTTCTTCTATGCCCTTTACCAACCCACATTAAGGCACGGACTTCAGAACCATCCTTTTTACTTGCATACGTTTCGTTGCAGTACCATTCACGCCATAGGCAGGAGACCCGGTTGGTCAGAACAGGGCGGGAACAGTACTAAAGAGGAGGAAACCATACACAATAAGCACTGCCAGATTCTTCTAGGACCCCCCCTATTACGGAAGGCATTTTATTGTCTTCTCCCTCCAGTCCATTTTCCTTACACCTGAACTCCTGCCAGGGACTCTGTAGGTAAGCAGATCTTGAGTTCTTTCATGACTCTCTGAAAGGACTCTACCCAGCACCTGATGATGCAAAACTCTACGGTCTTGATTGGTGTGAGACCCGAGGAGTTTCCGATGCTGAAGAGAGGGGCAAGCTAGCGATCTTCTTCATGCACACGTTTCAACTGAGTTGTGTGTGGGCAAGCTTCGTTCTGAGGAGGCTCACCTGTTTTGACTGTTCATGTTTTTCTTCGACAGAATGGGCTCTGGGTGGGCTTCCCTGGCTCTCTTAGTGATTCTGATCAGGTGGGATTCCTCTGTGACTCAAGGTAGAGACTCTCCAGGTAAGCCCACAGCCATTTCTTCCCCCCTCCCTCTCTCCCTCCCTCCCTTCCTTTCAGCTTTCTTCTTCTCGCTGTCTCCCCCCCTCTTCTTTGTGGCTCATCTATTGGTGGGTGGGGGTGGGGGCAGTCTGCCTTTCTCTGTAGTTCTGGGTCACAGGCCAGACTGGAATGACTTCAGCCTTCAAAGAGCAGTGCTCTTTGACAGAACCCCCCCCCATTAGGTCCTCATTTTCCCCCACCCCTCCCCCCCCCCCCTCGCCTGCTCCCCCACAATGGGCAGCTGAGACAAAAAGACTTCTGGGTCCAAGCCACAGACTCCGGGAGCAGAGAGGCAGGAGGAAGGGAAACAGTTTGTTCTGCTTAGAACCTTTACTGGATCTTTCTCAGTCACCCAGCAGGATAACATCTGGAGTCAGTCTGAGAGCAGTTGCCCTTCTACAGCCAGGGGATTTTCTCTAATTGTTATTGTTTCTATATGCGTTCAGTTGGGGTATCCAACTGGGCACGAAAGAAATTGAACACAAAGGTTATTTCTTCTGGCATTTGTTAAGCCTCTCTTATATGGTCAGAATTATGCTAAGCAGCTTTGAGAACTTGGATACATGAATCCCTTTCCTCCGGTTACTGGTACATGCTTTTTTCTCATTGGTCTTTTTCCCGCTGAGAAGACAAGCTATACCAGTAGGACACAATCTTAGACCACAAAAACACATTATTTATCAGCAGAAAACAGGATGTGATGTGCTAAGAGCAGAACCCACTTTGAATGTCAAGGTCTTAAAATGACAAAAGAGGAACAGACCTGGTGGGAGATGAGAATTACAATTAGAGAATAGAAACCACTCTGACCTTATACTGTCCATTAAACAATACACTTGGAAAAGACGTCACGAATGATGTCTACACATTCGGAACTTTTTTCCTTCTTCTCCTGATTCAGACTGTAAGAGGAAATAGAGGAAACTAGAAATGGTGAGCAGCTGGAGATTGTAGCTTCATCTGAAATGAGTTACTCGGTGAGCGATGAGTGGGGCGAACCCAGGAAGCATGCCCCTGTCTTTGCCTCTGCTCAGTAATCTGTGCATTTAGAAAGTCAAGTACATTAGAGATCAGTGGCAATTATCTTTCAAGCTTCCAGTGCCATTTCTTTCCAAAGCTCTTCACCGAATAACCTGCAATAGTAAGTCAGTGTGAATGTACCTTCATGGTTTTTGTTGTTTTTAATTGAATAGGAATTGAATTAATCTTACCCACTGAGCCTACTGAGTTTACAGCATATTCTAGTCATCGATCTGAATAAGGACACTTTTTAAAAAGTCTCCATTCTCATTGTTTTCCCCTGCCAGTGATTTCCATTCGAATGAGTCTGGTATGTCAAATTTGCAGTATTGTTTTTCTCCTTGCATATTAAAATGTTAATAAATGTCTTTGGGCTTTAGATTATATTCTGTGTGTCTTTTCACTCAAGACTATGCTTTTTGACACGGGCATGTGGATGTTTGTGGCGTTGACAACTCACAAAGCTTGATGCTCTTGGATGTAAACTCAAACTCATTTTTATCAATGGGCTCAAGCAGGTCCAGGGAGGGGAAGTGTCTTTTCCGGGTAAAACGACTTGACCTAGCACTTGATATAGTCAAGTTGATTCTAGCTCCTAGCAACCCTGAGAACAACGGAACACAACATTGCCTGATGCTGCACCATCCTCACAGTTGTTCTTGCATTTGAGCCCATTGTTGCAGCTGATTCAGCACTAGAACTTAGACGAGTAACCAGTTTTTCTCTCTTAAAAAAAAAAGGACTAGTTCTTCAAGTCTAATACAAGTACTATATTCTATGCTATAAGAAGGAGCCTTAGTGGCATAGTGGTTCCTTGTTGGGTTGCTAACTGCCAGGTCGACAGTTTGAAACCACCAGCTGCTCCAAGGGAGAAAGATGAGGCTTTCTACTCCCATAAAGACTTCCAGTCTCGGAAACGCACAGGGACGGGGCTACCTTGTTCCTCACTACGAGCTGGTGGCCGTGAGTTGCTTTGGCAGTGAGTGAGGGATAGAAATGAGAATCATACTTATTCTTATGAAAAGTGAAACTTAGTAAAAATGCTTTGGAAAGTTGAGTCACTTTTGGCAACGTGAGCAAATTAGAAATGTGGCACCGTATATGGAATTCAGTACCTAGCTTAAACTAATCAGTATCAAGATTAGCAAGGTGAGTTACAAACAAAACCATAATGGAAAATAGAATTGAATTTTTGTTTATACCGTTTTTAGTGATAGCGTCTGCTAGCAAAATCCTGGAAGGTTTAAACTCACCTCATAGATATATATTCCTTAGCATCATGCTATTGTGAACGCTAGAATGAAAGGTATGGAGGATCACAATGGTGATGCTGATAGTAATAGTAATAATAACGAAAGGTATTTCAGACTGGGGGTTAATGTTAGCTTTCTTTTCAGGATCAGTAGAAGTAATGGTTAGAGCCGATGGAGGGGCTGAGGTATCTAAAGAAGAAGAAGACCCCAAATCAAAGTTCTGGGAGAAAATTCACAGTGCGTGGAAGGTAGCAGGGAAGTTAATTTTACACTCTCATGCTCCTATTTTGTGTTTCTTTACCTCTTTACCATCCCCTCCACTATTTTTTTTTTTTTTTGCAGAATAATTTACCGAATGATTTCATTGCGTTATTCTATGTGGGAATGAAGCTTCTTGACTTTGTGATAAAGGGAGTGAAAATACTAGCCCTCTGAAAGCTTGCCCGGGAGAAGCCTAGCCCAGTGTCTGGCCTGAACCACACCAACCTGACTGCCATTGAGTTAGTTAATTGTGCCAGCCTGGCCCATAATCACATGTGGGGCTGGTTGAAAGGTGGAGGGATAAATGGGTGGTGAAGCCTCGCCTTTCTAGTTCTCGGGTCTCTTGTTTTGTGATGGTTGCACCGGGTGCAAGCTGCCTTAGCAGTTCCCTGCTTCAGCTTGCAAGATTGACTTCCTACAAGACATCCCCAAGGAGAAGCTACATGGACCTATCCCGATGCAGCCCTGGGTGCTGGAGCAGCCATGTGGAGACCCCTGCTAGTGCTGAGATGCTTACACGTTCACTGACTCAGCTTTCCTCCTGCAGTCGGCATTATTGCCTCTGTTTTGTGAGGTGGAGGACTTTGTGGACTGGTGTTGGGTATGGGTTAATGTTGGACTTGTGGGCTTGGGCAGCGTTGGGTTGGGATGTTTTCGTGATGCACATTTTCTTTGCATAAAACTCTCTCTTATACATGAGTCGCTGTGGATTTGCTTCTCCAAAGTACCCAGACTAATACAGCCATGGACTCAATGCTGACTCACAGCGACAGCCTGTGGGTTTCCGAGACTGTAACTGTTCATGGGAGTAGAAAGCCGCAGTCTGTTCTCCCGCGGAGCTGCTGGTGGTTTTGAACTGCCTGTCATGCAGATCCCAGGCCAACACATAACCACTCTGCCACAGTGCTAAGTGCCTGGCATAGTCAATCAAAGCTCGTTGAATAAACGAATGAAAGCTGACTCTCCTGAGACGTTCTCTTTGGCTTCAGCTTTAGGCTACGTGCCTCCTGTTTGGCTGTTCTGGTAGGATGGGCCTCGGGTGTCTTCTAGCATGAAGACCATTTTGCTAAGAGGAATCAGGGTGGGATCTATGGGGAGAAGCGCCTAGTTTAGATAGTTTATTTATTTATTAATGATCTTATTGGGAGCTTTTACAGATAGTATGACAATCGATACTTTAGTTAGATCAAGCATAATTTTACAATTGCTACCACCATCAGTTTCAGAACATTTTCTTTCTTCTTGAACGCTTTGATATCAATTCCCCTTTATCCCTTCCCTCCTCACCCAGGAAGCTTTATTATTATATTTTATTATTATTATTTTCTGTGTCTCATACCATCCAATGTATCCATTCACCTGTAATTCTGTTATTCAGTCCCCTCGAGTGGGGTTATACAGTCATTATTGCCATCAGCTCCCTCTTCCTGCCCCCCAGTCCTGTAACCCTCAGGAAATCATTACTCATGTTACTGTTTCTGAAATGTTATCCATCTTGGCTTTCATGCATCAAACATTATTAATTATACACATGAACATATGTAGGTCTAACAAGATTAATGAGTTAAAACAAAGACCATTATAATAAGACCATATAGTAAAGAATTAGAGGATAGTTATATGTTTCATCAGTGCTATATCACTCCCTGGATATATCATCCCTTCCATGTGGCCCTTCTGTGAGGGACTGTCCAATTATCTTACAGGTGGGTTTGGGGGCTACACTTTGTCCACACCCCTTCACACCGATTTGGTTGCTTGTTTTGAACTTCTGATCCCTTTTCCCACCAACACTTCATGATCACAGAGGCTGGTGTACGTCTTCCTTGTGGGCTTTGTTGCTTCCCTGCTAGATGACCGCTTATTTAACTTCAATCCTTTAAGACCCAAGACACGATATCTTTTGATAGCCAGGCACCATCAGCTTTCTGCACCACGTTTGCTTATGCACCCATTCTGTCTTCAGTGATTGTGTCGGGAAGTATCATACAGTGCCACATTATTAGAATAAACCATTCTTGTACTTAGGTAAGATTTTAGCAGAGGCCCAAAGTCCATCTACTGCCTTGTTGTATTTACATATATCTATACATACATAGACAAATATACCTATCTTTATATATTTCCATATATATTTAAACCTATACATATATAATTTTTACTTTCTTCTTCTTTCCTCTTTTTCATTTTTCTGTCCTCCTGCCCCACTATCGTGCTTACCCATTGTTCCCCTCTCAGTAATTCCTCTTGAATGCTACACTCTCCTCACCATCAATTTTAGAACCCTTGCTAGTCCCCTGTCCCTGTTGTTATTGACTCATCATTCACCTCTCCATCCCAGCCTCCTCCCCTCCGAGCCCCCACCCCCACCTCCACCCCAATCATTGGTCCCTTCTCCCTTCGCTGTGGAATTGCTTATCCTACCTATCTTATATAGATAGACATCAAAACAAACAGACAAACAAACAAACATATGAATAGTTCCCAGCCTAACTGTTGTCCTGACCCAGAGTCGATGGGTAGCTCTTGGTTAAATGGCTAGCAGGCCCTGTTATAATCCATCAGACCAGTCCCATATTCTTTCAGGGATCCATATCCCACCACCTGCTTCCCTAACAGCACTTAGACCCTTCTAGGGCTCAGCATTGGTGACTGAGAGGCTCACCTCCTACAGGTCCCCACTGTTCTACCTGCAGTCCGGAATGGAGCAGTCTACTGGCCCCCAACCCACCCAAGACACCTTTAGACTTTCAAAGACTGCCTCTCAAATCTTTGTGCTCTGGTCCCATTTACCAGACATGGATTTTCTGGAGGTGAAGGCTGGTTCATGGTTCTTTTCTGTTCGGTTTTGTTTGTTTTCAGAAGATTTTGTGATTCAGGCGAAGGCTGACTGCTACTTCACCAACGGGACGGAAAAGGTGCATTTTGTTGTTAGATTCATCTTTAACCTGGAGGAGTATGCCCGTTTCGACAGCGACGTGGGGATGTTTGTGGCATTGACGGAGCTGGGGAGACCTGATGCGGAGCTATGGAACAACCGGACGGACATATTGGCGAGGAGCAGAGCTTCTGTGGATACGCTCTGCAGACACAACTATAAACTGGGAGCTCCCTTCACAGTCGGGAGAAGAGGTGAGGTGGAAGATGGGATCTGGTGGGGTTCAAGGAAACCGCTTCTTGTAAATCTGGTCACGATCCATCTGCCTCACTTCGGCAATTGCTTTAGGATAGAAGGCTATAAGGAGGAAGATCAGTATGTGCGTTCTGTTCTCAAAAGTGACCCATTCATTAATCTCCTAGGTCAAGTTCCTGGGGTCTGGGTAGCAGACCTTTAAAGCCCTCAGGGATTTAAAGACTGTGCATTCTCATCAAACAGACAATTATGGAATGGTGTGAGGGCCTTCTTGGGACATGGGCACAACCAGTGCCTGAGTCTTGGGGCTGGGATGTTCCCACTCTTCCTGCTTTGACTGGTGTCTGGGATGAGATTAGAGACAGAGATTCATTTCTACAGAAACAGTGGTTTCCCCTCCCAATGCATACCTTTCTCTCGCCTCCCAGTGCAACCAGAAGTGATGGTGTATCCAGAGAAGACCCCGTCTCTGCAGCACCCCAACTTGCTGCTCTGCTCTGTGACAGATTTCTATCCAGGGGACATTGACATCAGGTGGTTTCAGAATGGGCAAGAACAGAGAGCTGGAGTCGTGTCGACTGGCCTTATCAGAAATGGAGATTGGACTTTTCAGACTACGGTGATGCTGGAAATGACCCCGGAACTTGGAGATGTCTACACCTGCCTTGTTAACCACTCCAGCCTGCTGAGCCCTGTCTCTGTGGAGTGGAGTGAGTCAGCTCCTTGTACTCTTGGGGCCTGACTCAGGATCAAGTCCACTCCATTGGCAGGGGTGGGGGGGGCTCTGTCAGCTCTGCACCTTTCTTGTTCACCACACCCTTTCTCCCTTGCTCCCAACCTGGGGTAGTGGCAGAGAGCGGGAGGCCCTGGGCTAGTGTGGAAGTAGGCATAGAAGACGTTTATCCTGTACTTTTGAAAGGTGCAAAGGTTTGGCAAGTGTCCTTGGGAAAAAGATGTGGTAGTCCTAGTATTCAGGGGAGCATTCTTACAGCCTATAAGGAGCAGTAACAGACGGGAGATCACTTTCTGTGTGCACACCTGAGACTCAAGGAGCCATTTCTAAGTCCATTCCTTCTCTAGGTAGCATTGAACTTGGCACCCAGCGCAGGTTCTGGAGGAACCCTGGTGGGGCAGTGGTTAAGGGCTAGCCAGATGGCTGGTGGTTCTCTGTGGGAGGAAGATGCAGCAGCCTTGGGGACCCTTTGGGGCCCTTCTCCGCCCTTCAGGGTTGGGGCGAGTCAGAACCCAGGACGTGGCAGTGGTTGGCCCATTTCGACAGGCAGGAAGACGCATCAGCGAGTGGGAGTTTGTTTCCTCTTTTTTTCTTCTTCTGACTTTAGAATCCGTTTCCTGTAGGAGCTCAATCTGAATATTCTTGGAGGAAGATACTAAGCGGAGTAGGAGCCTTCCTGTTTGGGATACTCTTCCTTCTCGTGGGGATCTGCATTCGCCTCAAGGCTCAGAGAGGTAACCAGGCTCTGCGAAGTACCTGCTATCTACCACCTGACTTCCCCTGCCCCTGACCTTCTCCAGTGCCCAAGATCTCAGAAGGATTACCACTCAGGTGTCATTCCAACCAAAACCCAACCCAAATCAAGTGGTCTCCACTCAGCATTGGCAGAGTCTTTTCAAAGTCAGAAACATTGGAGGGTGCCCATAGTTACGGAATTCAGATATTACAGATCATCCTTCATAATGATACGTCTTTGGTCCTAATTGGGGCATTCTCTCTTTTTCCTCCAGGACATGTGGAGACTCCGCAGCTTCATGATGAGGTAGTGCATTTTACTTCTGGCCTGTGATTGGCAGATCCTCTTCCTGGTCTTTGGCCAAGATGACATCAGTGGGATAATGAGATATAGGCTGGCTTTGGCTCTGGTTTCACTGCCTTCCATTCCACTCTGACTCGCAGATTTTATAGGACAGAGTAAACCTGCCCCGGTGAGTTTCCGAGACTGTCAGACTTTGTGGAAGTAGAAAAACCTCACCTTTCTTCTCTAGAGCATGTGGTGGCTTCAAACGGCACATCTTGTGGGTAGCAGCCCAACGCATAACCCACTACACCACCCGGGCTCCTGGGTCCCTGAAAAGGAAGGGTGGGTGCCTCATGAGACTTTTACCATTGTTCCTGCAGGGCTCAAGAAGTGTTCTCCCATCCAGTCATGCCAACTGAAGTTTCTCCTGGGATCCTGATGCAGTGCGAAGTGGCTTAGGCATTAGACTAGGTCAAAGACTTTCATGGGGTCGAATCTTTTTTACAATCCCTAAGGAAAGCCGGGACTGGTTCTACAAATTACGCATTCTGAAATCACACATCTCCCACTCTTCTGCCCTTCTTCCCGCAACTTGCCTTTTTATTACGCTTTTGTTTCTAAGGGAATTGTCTAGAACCCCCCGTCCACCTTCCTTTCAGTCCCAAACAGTTTACTTTTTGGTGGCCTTATCTATTGTTACCCCCAAATGTTTTTCTTTTCCAATTGCAGCCCCCAGCGTCTTCAGAGGACAAATGCTCAGTTGTTTCTTTGTTTTTATTTTACACCTTTTAAAAAACTAGAATAAAAGACATACAGATAACTGCATAAAGTATATATATATATTTTAAAAAAATCGTTTTATTAGGGGCTCATACAACGCTTATCACAATCCATACAGACATCAATTGTGTAAAGCACATTTGTACATTCATTGTCCTCATCATTCTCAGAACATTTCCTCTCCACTTAAGCCCCCGGCATCAGGTCCTCATTTTTCCCCTCCCTCCCCACTCCCCCCTCCCTAATGAGCCCTTGATAATTTATAAATTATTATTTTGTCATATCTTGCCCTGTCCGACGTCTCCCTTCACCCACTTTTCTGTTGTCTGTCCCCCGGGGAGGGGGTCACATATACTTCCTTATAATAGGTTCCCTCTTTCCAACCCACTCTCTCTCTACCCTCCCAGTATTGCCATTCACACCACTGGTCCTGAAGGGATCATCTGTCCTGGATTCCCTGTGTCTCCAGTTTCTATCTGTACCAGTGTACATCCTCTGGTCTAGCCAGACTTGCAAGGTAGAATTCAGATCATGATGGGGCGGTGGGGGGGAGGGACGAGGAAGCATTTAGAAACCAGAGGAAAGTTGTATTTTTCATCGTTACTACGTGGCACCCTGACTGGCTCATTTCCTCCCCGAGACCCCTCTGCAAGGGGATATATTTTAAGAAGTCATTTAAGGCAAAACCCGTATAATTACCACTCAGGTCATGAAATCAAACTTTGGTGACATCTCAGAAGCATCTTTTCAAACCTCTCCCTCTCTCTCGTCCCCAAACTTAGGCTATGCTGACTGTTGTAGTCGCCTCCTTCTTGTGTTTCTTTATCTGTGGACACAATAGCTTAGTTGTGCCAAGATGAAAAAAAATGTTTTATCTTGTGAGGTGGACGAAGGTCTATAGAGTCTATAGAGCATGAAGTTTTCCATTAGCAACCGTACATATTTGTTTCATCTCATTGATTGCAATTCCCACAATGACATGTTTCCATTCCTATTTCTTTCCTAACCCTTCTGAACCTTGTCCTTGGGTAATTGCATCCCTTTTGGTCTTAAATGGTTGGTTATTTTAAGGCGTGTATGCCTCACTAGTGTTATTATTACCCTTTTGATTATTTATGATGTTCATACCTCGTTAGTGTTATTGTTCCCCTTGTAGATCTGTCTATTTCTTGGCGGACAATTGAGCCATGGAGGTGAGTTAATTTCCAGACCTGAAGGGGGTGACTGAAGGCCATAGTGCTTGGAGTTCCCCCAGTCTCAGTCTGACTAGTAAGCTTAGTCTCTTTGATTTTGAGTTTTGTTCCACTTTTTTCTCCCACTTTATCCAGGCCTTTCTCCCCCCTCCCCCCAACAGTTTTAGTGGCAAGTAATTTACATATCATAGAATTCAATCGTTCAATCATTCAATTATATCGCAGGGAATTGTACCATCACCTCACATCAATTGTAGAGTATCCCCTCTCCCCCGTGGTGAAATCTCTAAGATGATTCATGCAATCACAATCTGTTCTAGTGCTCCCACCCCCCCCATCTTCATTAGTTTCTCCCTAAGTCCCCTTTCCCTCCTTATTTCTCCCCAACCCCTGTATTCCCTACACCCCCTTGGATCCGTTATCATTATGCATCCACTCCTCCTGTGCTTCACAGCTGGGAGACCCAGTAGAAAACAAAACCACGCTACGGTGTTGACCATGGGGATCACAGCCCAACCTGTAACCACTACACCACAAGGGCTCTTGTCTAAGGCCTTCTGATAGGGTCCCCTTCAGAACAGCTGGTAGTATAGATAGATGGTCATCACTTCGTTTTTCTGGTCTCCGCACTGTGGACACTGGTCCTCTAGCCCAGCAGACTAATTGTTTCCATGTATCTTCAATCAATTTTCATTACTCTCTTTCCTTCATATAGGGATTGACCAATAGTTGTATCAGTGGTGGGATCCAACCGGTTTACACCAGTTGGGCAGAACCAATACCTAATGTTTTGTTGAGTTTGGCTCCCCGGTTGTTAAAAATGGCACTTGTAACCAGGGTTCTCGCTATGTTGGGCTGCTGGGTAGCTGCCCGATGTGGAAACCACACGTTTACATTCCTGATTCTTTTTTAATGTTCGCTGTGCAGCAGTGGATTGTAGGCATCTGTAGGTATAGAGATACCGTCCATCGGTATAAGAGATTAGACAGGACTATGTTTGTAATACTTACTGATTTCCTATAACTCATTGCACTTTTGATGGAATACTACATGTTCCGTCCCTCGTATCTGTCACTTCAGGAAGCAAACATAGAACATAAAGAGAAAGATGTGCCAAACAGCTAGAGGGCGACATGCTGCCAATTCATCTCAGCTTTGCGCCACACCCCACATTTCCAGGACATACCATGAGTGAATGATGCAAGTCCCCAAAGTGTTCAAAGAGCTCAGAATTGTTAGAACAATTGCTGTAAGTTCAGCCAAAGTGGCAAACGTTTTTCTCAAAGAAGAATACAATACATTCAGAGAAGAGAAGCCACTTGTTTGTGTTATGTCAAACACAACGACTATGGTCTAATTGGTCTCTTACAGTGAAAGATGGTTAAGGACTAATCACACAGCCGATGGGGCTCAGATAAAATGAAGAATATTGCCATCAAGAAGTAATATGGAAATATCTTAACACTTTTATTGCTTATGTCAGGTATTATTCAGTATTTTCTCATTAATATTTTAAAGCATTCTTACAATAGAGTCTGGTTTTATGTACCTTTTTTATTGTTCTTATTTAAGTATTAATGGTTATTGGTATTTGAAAAATATTAAAATGGTCACTAGGGCAGTGGACCAGCTGTTAAATTATTTGAATGCCACGACTAGTTGTACCATAGATTGTCCCTCACTCGAGTTTTTTCTCTCAACATTATTATTGGCATATAATTCACATATTACACAATCGCATCAAGAACAGTTGTACAATCACGACCACCGCCAGGTTAAAAATATTTTCTTCATTCACGATCCTTTAGGCCTCTGCTGCTACTCACCGGAGCAGGATAACTTTCACCTCCCTTGGCTTCCTCTCTGAGTCTTTCACCTGGCCTAGCCTCTCCTAACCTCTTTGCCACCCCCTTCCTGTTGGCATGAGTTCCCAATCTTTCAGTAGGAGATCAAGTCTTGGGGCAACTCAGTATACATCTAGCCACCCATGGCACATTTTCAAGGTGGAGGGGTTTCAAGTGGGCATATTGGCAGAAACAACAGCTCTAATTGGCAAAAAGGAGGTAGCTCAATAGACTGTCCACTCCAAATAGTTGTTCTTCGAGATGATACAACATCAAGAACAAAGTATTCCTGTTGTGCAGAGCTCGAGGCGCTGCCAGTTAATCCCAGAGATTGCGCATGTACCCGAGAACGCAGTGCAAGGGCGAGGTCCTTAAGATTAAACAGAGAAGTATGAAAACCCAGAATATTTGTATTAAGATAAAAAAGTTAAAATGCACAAGACACATCCTTTGCACATAGCGAATGCAGTTGGCATTCTGAAGAACGTGGGACTCGAAGTGTAGTAATCTACGTGCACAAATCCTTTACACCCCAGTGGCCCAGAATGGGGTGCAAAGGCGTTTGGGACCAGCCCTTTGGAGCACCATCGCAACCCACTGTTTGCGACGGTGTCTAGCACCCTTTTCCAAGAGTAGGTTATCGGGAGACAAGACCTGGAAAACGTCTGCCCTACCCCAAAGAGATTCCCTCCCACAGAATGTCGTAGAGTTCGGGTGGGCCCATCTTTCAGAAGAAAGTTCCCTGTGCAGGCCACTTTCAAAACCCTGAGATTCTGAGCCGTAGACAATGCTGGCAGACTCTGCGACTTTCTCCTGAAAGGACTCAGGTGCATTTGGATAAAGTCCAGTTGGCATTCCTTTGCTTCGCGCCGAACCCCCCCACCAGAAGGGAAGAGGGACTGATGTTGTGGCAGCCTGAGATACAAGGCAGGGCTACCTGCCCCCTCCCCACCCTATCCCCCTCTTTCCACTCTGCTGATTAATGCCTGCGCCTTGAACTTGCCTGGTAGTGGGAGGATAACTTCCACCGCCATGGCTCAGTTCTGGGCCTCTGGAGCAGGCCTGGGCTGTGAGCCTCTTCTGCCTGAGAGTAGGCTGACTTTCCCATGAGCTGGGGGCCTGCAGGACCTTCAGTGGGCACCAGGCTACCTCCTGGCGGATGCCTTGGCAGACATGACACTTGTGAGGCAGGGTTATCCGTTTGCACGTCTGGGTATGCCGGTCTCGAGCTCCACAGTGGCATCACTTGTCCCCTTCTGACTTGCACTGATACTCGTTCGTTCCCTTTGGCGCTCTCTCATTCCCAATATAGAAGACCCTGCCAGATCCCGTGACTTGCATTGATTCCAGGCCCTTAGCCGACTTCTTAAAGGGGGAACTCGAACGCTCCCCACTCCTTCCGGCTCCAGAAGCCCTCCAAGTGCAGCTTGCTGTGGTGCACAAAGGCATCCACAGAGGGGGAGGGGGAGCGAGGAGTGAGGGGTGTGTTTGTGCAACACTGGCGGGTGTGGTTATGGACAGGAAGCTAGACGTTGAACCACTTCACAGATGCCGGCACGGTGCCCAAGCTGCAGTTCCTCTACTGGGCGAGGCCGCGTCCTCTGGCGCGGCCACCTGCAAACTGCTAGTTGGACCTGCAAGCCATGTGCCTTGGCTGAGCCTGCAGGCCAGGCCCTTGCTCCTGAGACGCCTGGAGGCAAAGTCTTCCCTGGCACGATCGCATGATGTTGTTCTCAGGGCCTCGTTGTCGGCCTGCTGACAGCATGTCCGAAAGTGAGAGCCTGTCTGCCACCCGCTCTTGTAAGGAGCATCCTCCCAGGACCGATGTACTTGTTCTTTAGGTGACCCAGGGCAACATCAATATTCTTTGCCGACATCCCAATTGAGATGCATCGTTCCTTCTTCAGTCAATTGTATTCATTAC